AGGAAGAATGTCCTTGGGATTATTTCACCAATAGCCTAGTCATTTAAGGTACTACCCGGTGTATTACAATATAGTATTAAGTTTACAAACCCAGAAGGTTCGATTAAATCTTGGTCTGATCTCATTGGAGCGAGCAATTGGAGCAGTAGACTCAGAGTCCCAGGAGAGGGAGAAGAAGATCTACCAGGGATCCAACTCCTGATTTCCATCTAGTGACCACTGCTGGAAAAGTACATTTCTCCCCTGGTTGAGGGCAGGATAGGGCTTGTATTTAATCCCTATATGATAAAAAAGCTGTTGACATTCACACCTCATGCGTGAATAATGGTCACTGGTATGAGGCACCCATAGGTATACACTCCACCAGTGAAATTTGGTGACAAAATAAACACATGATCAATGTTTAGGTCTGTAATAATAATAATAATAATAGTAGTAATCCTTGCATTTGATATAGCCCCTTATCACGTCTTTGAGACATCTCAAAGCGCTTCACAGAATATACTGTAAAGTGAATTGACTGTATATTTTAGCTTAATTATCTGATAGGAGAAACAACTACAAATGATATAGTAGGATGTTATCTGAACAGTGAGTTCTATAATACACTAGGGGGATATTTGATTTTCTATGCAGATCCACAAATCTTTATTTTTATCCCTGATTAGCAAGGAAAGGTGATATATATTTGCCAACCAATTTGTTCAACTGCAAAAAAACTTGCACTTATGTAATGGCTTTTATGCAGGAAGAAAAGTGTTTCATAAGGATGACAGGGAGAAAACGAGTTTTTAAAGAGAGTTTTAAAGGCAAGGAGACTGAGGCATAGTGCCTCAAGGATCAACCATTGATGATAGGAGAAATGGGGGGAGAAACAAGCAGGAAGTGACAGTGAGATCAGAGGGCACAGGCAGGAGAATATGGTTTATAGAAAAGAAATATAGCATGTGTTTAAACCCATTCTAAAATTAGAACATGGCAGCAATGGAAATGTAACTGAGGACAAGTAATAAATTAAATGTCACTGCATCCTAAAACAAGCATATTGGACCAGTAATTGAAGATTTCATTACTTAGAATTAAACATGATCCAGTAGACATTTAAAAATATCCACTTCTGTGGATACAACATGATTAGTCAACAAATCATAGCATTATTTGTTTAGGGTCAAAAAACGATCCACCAAGACAGCATCAACTAGGAGTAACAAAAATCGGTATAATATTATTGGTTCAACATTCAGGCAACACTGCAAATCGTCACTAAAACAGTTTTTGGTACTGCATCAATGAAGAGTATACTGCAATTCTATTTCCAACAAAAGCAAAAACAAGATAGTGATAAATTGTCTCCCCACTTGCTTAGAAACATTTAGTCTTCACTTGGAAGATGTAAGAATTCAAACAAATTTACATTTCCGTCATGGAGAAATATCATAGCTATTGATCTATTAAAATATTGTTCAATTCCATGTCGCACAAATTTTTTTTAATATCGCCTGCTCATCTTCATCCACTTCGCAATTAAAGTTTGATTTATTTGAATAGTTTCATTAGATCAGTGATTGATTGAGCAGCAACGGTCACTCAGGAGAAGAAAATCAAAAGAAAATGTCATAAAAACATAAAATCAGAAATCCCTAAAACATTATGATATCAACAAATGTTTTAGTGCGCTTTAACGCTGACGTTGTGTATATTTTTGTGGCCTTGATTCCATAAGAATAAATATGATTTTTGTTATTCTGTGCTATACATTTTGAGTTTTATTTCTCATCTCCAATGTGTATTACCAAAAATACATAGAACAGGATTTCTGTGCACTTCTGTAATTCTCCTGTCAACTGTTTTGGAAGTTCGTCACCTGCTGTTAATGTCAAAGCACAGAAGAAAACAAGAACTAACGGACTCGCAATGGCTGGATGGAGTTGTCATGTGTCTGCCTGTCTACACTTGCTGTGCAGAAAATCCACTCACCTGTACAGCAGGCACAGACAGGCAGTCGCATGACAACCCAGCCTGACTGACAGCCACTCAATTGGATATCAAAGGAACAACTCTCAGTGAACAGGCTTCATGCGACTTTTGAATGATTATTTGCAGCAGAACCGTGCAGCTGCGTTGTTAAAAGCACTTTTGTTTTAGGAAAGAACAGTGATGATGGTTGCCCAGTGTGATAATGTACAGGTACATATACAGGCATTCAATTCTTCTCATGGGTAATCAGAATGTTAATGGATAGGCTTGATCAAGACACATGACAAGTCAACCTTTTGTTAAAGATTTAAACAATTATATGTTTCAATATTTAACAAAAGCAGACAGCTTTTCTGTGTCGTACAATTGTTCCAAAGGAGCATATTTTAATAAAGTGACACCCAAAAGGAGAGGATATTTACTCTTCGACACTTTTCCATTTTAAAATGTTGGCAGTAAACACAGTGGTTTGTGAAGGATGTGAGAATGAATAAATAATAAATGATACAGATACAAGCTGGAGCAATAATAAACCACAGTGTGCAATATTGATAGTATCACAATGTGTTTGGAGCAGGATATACAGCCGATCACAAAATATTTACAATTTCTCAAATCCAATTTCATTTCTGTACATGGTTACTGTTTCAATCTTATCTATATGTGTCATTTTATGTCATAACATTTTGTTAACAGTGGAGTTGGTTGTTGCTTCAAATAAAAAATGTAGTTATACATTTCTATGTAAACACCATATAGACCTGAACTAATTATTTATTTCTCTTATTGAATACGCAATTGATTACTGAAATATTTAAGGATGTAATGTACAGCCTGACATCAAGATCACATTCCGGAGTTACCTAGGACGAGCTCCAGTTTATTTGGAGTGTATTTTAAAGATAAATATATACATATTTAAGAACATAAGAACATAAGAATTAGGAGGAGTAGGCCATTCGGTCCCTCTAGCCTGCCCCACCATTCAAAAAGATCATGGCTGATCTATTCTAACTCCACCTACCCGCCTTATCCCCATATCCCAAAGCAATAATTTCCCAAATAATTTCCCAAAGCAATAATTTTAAAAACATACTTTGTTCTGTTAAAATATTAGTGATCTGTACAAAATAATCTAAAAAGCAGATCAAATACCTTAGGTTTCATGCATTTTATTTTAGGTTGTATATCTGTATATGTCTCTACTTTGAGGAACTTTTCCACCCTTAAGCATCAAGTGACACAGCACCACAAAATAGATGCTCCACCTCCAGGCTATTAATACACATACACTGCTGCCAGTAGCTGTCCTGACTCTATAGAAATACTTTAAAGTAAATCAAGTACCATTGCTACCTCTGGAGGCAAGGACCCACCTGAAATTGTCTTTTCGTGCCTCTTCAGAGGTAGCAGACTCAGAGACAGCAATTTAAATTCCATATCCAGAGGCTTATATCACCATTTGTTTCTGTTTGTGGGCCACTGGGTTAATGCTCAGCATGTTCATGCAGATCATTCATGCGGTTTCCCACTGATTGGCATTTATGAATCCCAAATGAAAGCCGTGAATGGAACTTTCAAATTACTTGTGTGTTTCCGAAGCTGTGGAATCCATTTTAGTTGAAATGAGGCTGATTCCACAGAACATGCAGTACAGGGTATTACAGAATCTGTTGCAGCTCTATACCAAATTAATCTTCGAACAATTAATTTTTTAAGTATCTGACCTCTGCATCAAGTAAATCACCCCTACTGATATGTAATTAGTCAGATACTGCTTGTTTGATTGTAACAGGTGCTAATATAACCTAATGCTTTTCAAATCAATAAATACAATCTAAGATATCACACAAGTGAAAAACTCGAAATTACATGCATAAGGGAGATATGACAGCTTTTTACAAGGATTATCTGTAACACAATGTCAAGTGTTTTATATGAGAAAGTCTTGCTATGTTCTACAAGTATGATAGTACTTCCTATTGCCAACTAGGGCACCTTTAGTGAAGTACTTTACATAACATTTACTTTGTACATAACATATAAAAAAAAGGCTTTCAGCCAGATGCTTCTAGAATCAAGTTTCTAAAACAGAAGCGTTCTGATGTACCAATCCCCTGCCAAGTTTTACTTACCCTACAATTTGCATTTATATAGCACCTTTCATGCCAGAAGGATGTCTCAAGCACAGTTAGCTAGCTAGGTACCCTAGCTTGAGGGAATTGGGGGGTGGGCAGGGTAAGTATCAAGTATCATTCTTCAACCTGGCTCAGTTGGCAGTATTCTTGACTGTGAGTCAGGAGTTGTAGGTTTATAAGCCCCATGTAGGAATTTCGAACTTATAAGAGTTTAAGCTGACGCTTTAGTGCAGTGCTGAATGTGTGGTGCATTGTTGGAGGTGCTATCCTTCTGATGTGACATTAAACCGAGGCCCCTTCTAGTTGTTCAGGTGGACATTAAAGATCCCACTATTTGAAAAGAGAAGGGAGTTTCTCCCGGTGTCCTGGCCAACAAATCCCCCAAATAAAAATTGGTTATTCACTCCATGGCTTTGTGTGGAACATTGCTGTACGCAAAATTGGTTGCCATGATCGCTCACAAAATACAGTCACTCCACTTTACAGTATATCCTGTGAAGCACTTTGGGACGTCCTCTTGATATAAACATAAAAGGCACTATACCAAATGTAAGGATTACACCAACAATAACCCTTAACTTTGCCTTCCACATTCTTGCAGCTCATGTTGAATTTCTGGATAGTTTTACCTGGTGTATTTGGGTCAATGTGAGTGCCAGATTCAGACAGTCTTGAATACTTTAAAATGGAACGATCAAACTGTGCAGCTGGATTTAAGCCAGATTCCAGGGGAGCAAGGATAGGAGCTAAAATGCTTCACCATCAAGCTTCCCTTCTCCCATTTCAAAATGATTTTTCTCCCACTTTCCAGCTCACCTAAGATTAGGTACACACATGGGGCCTTGATAAATGATACTGTTGCAAGGAACATGCTTGCTCGCTTACCTCATTATCCTTAAACCAACAGAGACTCTCCGCAGTCAACACAAACCAGTACTCCTTAGAGCCTCCTTTTCTGATACTAATGTTGTTGATGGTAAGCCAGCCTTTCCTGATCACCTGCAAGGAATTACGAGTATGAAAAAGGAAATGTCACCCATGTTAAAAGTACACTTATGTTACATTTAAAAAAGTTGTCACTAATGCTGTCTTTTTACTGGAACTTGGAGAACAATGCAGTGGTTTCTGCTTGTTGTGCTGGCACTACAGGAAAGTTACACTGACAATGCCATCTCAGTTGTTAAGATCCTTCTGGAAATTAGATCATCTCCAAATAGTGACTTGAAATTACAGCAAAACTTTTGATTTTGTTTCATAATACCTTGCTCTATGCGTGTTGATATCACATCAATGCATTTGTTTTGGGACCCAACGCCTTGGGACGTCCTCCCGACGTGAAAGGCGCTATACAAATGTAATATTGAATTGTATTGGTATGTCCAAAATTGAATATCCAACAATTCCAAGATCGAAGAACATACAAATATTGCAGTTCTGAAAATGGTACTGAAAAAAATAAAGCGCATAAATGTCAATATCTCAGCACTTATAAAAAAAATTGACCACTGACTTGCACTTCTTTTCTGCAATAATTTTGAGTTGATAAAAAAATGTTAACTCTACTCTGTCTTTGCAAAATTCTGTGTATTTGACAGGTTTTCAAATAAAAAAAACAATTTATTACAGTATTATTGGTGGTATGAACTTTGCAATATCAAAAATATATGCCTCAGAAAATATCAACTGCTGTCACAGTTGAGATCCAGTATGGTTTACTGTTTCACTGAGCCACAAGGTTTGAAGCTAACAATAATTTTGAAATGTAATATTTGAGATTTGATACAGATTCCAGTATTTGTGTTTGTCAATTTATCGCTCTGAATATACAATGCCACTGTATCCTACGCCGTGACTGAGCTTTGCTGCAGTATACAGAAATTACACTAGAATCTCATTTGTCAACACCTTGGTAATGAGGGAAGCTCACTATTCAGGTCACATTTTCACAGTGTATTTTCCACTGGGTCAGCAATATCCCAAACTAACTAATGAATGTGCCTCACTAATACGGTCAAAGTAGGCCAGTCTGAAGACCGGCTTTAATGGCAACTTTCTACTGTTCAGACATCTGCATTGTTTACGTGTCTGCCCTGCTCTGCTTCAGCTCACACTCACTAGCAATCTATTCACCTCAAACCAGAATTGTCGGATTACCCGAGGAGTACAAGCACACAAATTTTCCGCTAAATGTCTGTTTCCTTCAAAACAAAACAGGAAATTAAACAAAATAAATCAAAATGGCAAAATACTGAGATGATTCTTCAGATTAAAAGGTATTTCTTTTCATTTAACAAACTAGTGCAATATACACAGCGCAGTGGTGACATTTGTATGAAGTGCAGAACGTGCAGATGATCAGCTAGAAAGCACTTAAGCACAAACCTCATTGAAATGGATAGACGCATCTGGCATCTGAACTTGTTATGCCAGATGAATGTCATCTATTTCTGTGAAGTTTGGATAATAACTTGGCAACTACAAATTATTTTGCAATGCAAGCTCTATGTGCACAAAGCAAAAGGAAATTCTAGCAGATTAGCTCAGACAAGTTCAAAACACTCAAGCGCTAGTTGTTGCCAGGAAAAAAATAGTGGCCTTCATTTAGTTTAGGGTTAGACTATTACCAATGAAGTGGTTTTCTGGTTATAATTTTAACTTTGACATTTGATGTACAAGTCTCTATTTGAATCAACAAATTTTAATTTACCCAAATTTAATTTGATTTCCAGTCTTAGTCATAAAACTGCTTACAGTGATGGAGAAATCCATACTCATGGAGACTTAATTTGTTCAAAAAATAGATATTTGTTAATCATTCAGAATTTTGTAGTCAGTATTCTCTCCTGCATTAGGCTCCGTGGGCCCGTCACCCCTATCCAGCTTCACTCCCTATCCCCCAGCTCTGGCTCCCACTTCTAAAGCATTCTTCTTCCCAATGTTTAAATCCCTATATACATGCAAATTGTTGTTTTAATGTCATATTGCCTAAATGCACAAATTATAAATGTATTAATTTCAGTTCAGTTTTTAATCCCAAAACATGGTTATTATGTTAATTTATAATGGGAATTTACCAGAAGCCACACTGCAAATTAAATTTGCACCATTAACCACGGCACAGTTTCACACATACTACAAAATCATAAGGCTGAGATCTGTTGCAAGTCACAAGATATAGGTATATAAAGTGGTTCCAAATGTGTTAAAATGAAGTTAAGTATACATTATTTTATGCATTTTTAAATTTATAGATGCCGAAATACTAGGGATCTGGTTGCAGAATACAGTCATAAAACTATTTCCCACGTTTGAAACACGTATCACCGAATTCCATTGAAGCTATGAAACAAAGCAGGCTGGCAGACTAAATACTTCACCGCCATTTTAAAAAAAATTATAGAAAACAAAGCTGAGATCACCAGCTGAAGTGAAATTTCCTATTCAAAACAATTTGAAGGTAAATCCGACTAGTTGCTTACAAATTGCAGAGGCTTAAAAATGATTAGCAGATATATTAACAAAAAGCTCACCACAAATGTGCAAGTTTAGAATGTCTTCATTATATATGTCTTATCAATTGACATGAGTTTATCTATGTCTTATCAATTGACATCAGCGCTTTGGGACGTCCTCCCGACATGAAAGGTGCTCTATAAATGGAATCTTGTTGTTGTTGATGAGTTAGGAGCTTTCTTTTTTTAAAAAATTGGCTATTCTTAGTGCAAATTAAGCAAGAGATAACTACCTTGCAGATAACTAGAATATTGCATTAAGAATCTGGCAAATACTTGGAGAATTTAGGTTCGGAATGTCAAAGATTAAAACAGATGTGAAAAGGATACCGTTATTAAGAATCAAGAGCAACTTAACCTTTAATCTTAATCACTGAACTTTATAAGATTCAAAGCTCTGCAAGTGGTCACATATTCATAAAACCAATAGGAGATTGTTATAACGTTAAGAGTCATTAAAAGCCTGAATACCTCATCAAAGAGACTTGGATAATGATCTTGCCAGTTTGTAAGGTGGTTTTAGAAATGTGGAGGCTCAAATGCTTGTACTACTGCTATCTATTTCAGTTTCTAGTTCTAAAGTTTCATCAACATACAAATACAAATTCACACGTGTGCATTAAAGCAATTAGTATCATTGACAACCCTTTTGTTTTTTTGTTGTATATTAAAGGGGGAAAATAAAGGTCCAAAGGATTAGTAGCAAAGTGAAGTTCTGCGCATTAACTGGTTATTGATAGACAGGTGTGAAAGCTACAGAACTCAGTAGAAAAGCAATAGTACATCTTACAAAAAACCTTAGCTCGTACAATTTGTCTCAACAGTGGGAGATGGGAGCCCTGAAAGAGCAAAACAAAAGATTGCAACAAAGAAATGCATTGGTAAAATTGTGGACAATAAGACACATAATTAAACACTAAGAATTATTTTGGTGACTATCCCCTCAAATGTTAGGGTGCACAAACTACTGCATAGTTGTTTAGAGGCTGTACAGTTAAAGATGGATGTAGGAACTACCATTACATTTACTGTAAAAACCACCAACCCAAAAATAAGTTGGTACAAGAGTAAAATAAAGGGAATAGTATGAAACAGATATTGCCCTACCTGTCGGTTCTTCTTCCCTCCCCACTCCCAGCCAATTGTATAGGAGGTGTACACATGTCCTTATTATTGACTACATTACACAAAGAGAACCCAGTCTACATACTCACCAAAAATTCTTCTTTCAAGAGGTAACAAAAAAAGGTAAATAAAGGTGAAATTAGTTGTGATGGAGAGCAAAGGGATGGGGGAAAGATGTATTAAAGAAAGAGTGTGAGAAAGACAAAGTAGCATAGGTGACCCCAAAGATGTAAAAGAAAAAAAATGCGCAAAGTCAGTTCCAGCAAAACAAATTAAGCAATAGATTGAAATAATATTCAGAAGCAAATCTTCCACAAATATGTAAATCATGTAATGGTAAAGAACTCGCCAAAAACATTTACATGTTGAAATATTGTAAAGAAGGCAATGTAAATTGAAGTAAAGATTATTCCTTTTTTTTAAGAATGAACACATTCTTCTATTTCTAAGTATAGGAACTTTTACCTGATTCTCAACAGAGCTCTTCTTGGAAAGCTGATTACTTCTTTGCTGAGCACTGGATTACAAAAAGACAAGATATTACATAATATGAAACAAATGAATTTTAATACAATTATTTTTCAAACATTATAAAGCAACCATTGATAAAAAAGAACGGAAATGAATGTTTTACTGTATTAATTATACATATTTTGTTCCTAAAATGAAACACACAATTTGTTAGTAAAATATAGAGCAGGAACAACTTATTTTTGTAATGCCTTGGTAACAAACAATTGCTTTGTTTTGATTATGTATCTCAATCCAACAATAAATATCTAAACATGCCATGTGCTTAAATCAAAAAACAGCAATAAGTGTAAAAAATACAATTCTGCAGTAACTATTTAGAATCCCACCCATATCCTGCACCACATTTCTCAAAGTATTTGGTAAAGGTCCACAATGATAAATTTGGTTAGAGTAAGTTACAAGAGGTATGAATACAAACTTTAGTGATTTGCAATACCATTTCAAGACCACTGTGTTAATCTGGTGAACTGTACAATTATTGAATAAGCCATGAAAGCTTAATCTACTTGATTCACAAAGAACTAAAAACTACTTCTAGAATGTATCTGGTTACATACTTTGTAAACCCAATGAAGTCTTCATGGTTGGTGTTGATATAAGACAGCTGGATATCAATCAGCAATAACACCTAAAAAGGCAAAACCAAATTGTTAAGCTTTTTAACCCAACTCCTCCTTCCACAAAGATTTCTCAAATTTGGTTGCTTTATAAGTTGTTCATTTCTCTAGCAGACGATTTCGACAAAAGATAGCCAACTCTTCCACAACTTCTAATGAGTGCATCTCAATGCTTTGGAGCTCTTGGGAGGTGACCTGGTTAAATGGAACAATATTTGCATGGAATATCAAGAAATTAACAAAACAATAGGGCTACAAGGACAGTTTTTTGCTACAATATAAAGCTGGGATGTAAATTGTGCAAAACTTCTCTACATATTGCATTATATTAAACAATGGAGTTGAGAGCAAGTAACAATGATGTATGTTAACCTGGTTCTTTGTCTTTCCTTCTCTTTCTCGTACGTGGCAGGAAACAATCTTTTCTGTCTCCTCTCGCAGTCTTGGATATCTACCCAGCTGTGAAGGCAGAGCTCTGGTTTACTTCAAATCAGCATGAATAGACCATCATCAGGTTAAATCTATTGTGGTTCATAGCACCAAATTAAATTTGATTCATTTTGTATCCTGCTTTTAACAGGGAATCCACTATGGAATGGAATGAAGTTTAAAATGTCAACAGCTTGATATTTGACATGTTTCAGCAATGAGACAAATATTTAACATAGTGCTAAATAAAAACAATGCAACTCAAAGCACTGATTGGAAAGTACATGTGATTTGTACATGATTCAATTCATGACACATCTACTGGATTTCAGCTCACAATGTTTTGTTTAACTTTCAAATGTTACAATACTTCAGTCTAGATTCTAATTGCTATCTTCACCCATTATACTGAGATAATATTCTCTCCTTAATTGCAGGTTTGGACATTATTTCTATATGTCGTTATATACTGTAGTAATGTTTGACATTATTATTTGATACAAGATGTAGGAATACAGAAGCTCCTGCCCATACAACAACAACAAAATTACATTTGTATAGTGCCTTTCACATCGGAAGGACGTCCCAAGGAGCTGGACAGACAGAGTTATGGACCCGAGCTGAGGGTCGGGGTGGGGGAGGAGGAGGCATGGGGGGAAGCAGGGAGATCGAAAGCACGGTTGAAGAGGAGGGTCTTGAGGTGGGTCTTGAAGGTGGTAAGGGAGGGGGTGAGATGGAGGGACTGCGGGATGGAGTTCTAGAGGGTGGGGGCAGAGTGGCGGACAGCTCGGCCGCCAATAGTGGGGCGAGCAAAGCGGGGGACGTGAAGCAGGCCAGAGTCCGCTAAGCAAGCAGGATGGTAGGGGGTCGGAGAGGTAGGGGGAGCAAGACCATGGAGGGCTTTGAAGGTGAGGACCAGGATCTTGAACTGTATCCTCTGTGTGATGGGCAGCCAGTGGAGTTGGGCAAGGATGGGGGTGAGAGGGTCGCAGAGCCTAGTGTGGGAGAGGACACGGGCTGCAGAGTTCTGGATGATCTGCAGCCTGTGGAGGGAGGAGTTGGGGAGGCCGACAAGCAATGAGTTTGTGTATTCGAGCCTCGATGTAATGAAGGTGTATATAAGGGTTTCGGCGGCCTGCGGTGTGAGACAGTGTCGGAGCTGGGCGACGTTACGGAGGTGGGGGAAGGCAGAGCGGGTCGTGGCGCGAATATGGGTTAGAAAGGATAGTTGAGGGTCAAACAAGACCCCAAGGTTCCAGACTGGCTTAGCAAGGTGGAGTGTGCAACCATGGACGGTGATACTGTCAGCCCAGTATATTTGACATTATTATTTGATGCAAGATGCAGGAATACAGAAGCTACTGCCCGTATAGTCTATATTGAATATTTGGCCAGGTAACTATTTTAGCAGCCTAGGTAAAATTAAGATAAATCCATCTTAATCAGAAACTATAATTGCTAACAAAGGTTATTCTAAGTTCAGATGAACAATGGGTCAAAGGTGACCTGGATTCAGCTAAAAAGGCTAGAGAACCAAACAGTAAATCTTATAAAGCGTGGCATTCCAATAAACAAAAATGACATACAGTATTGTCAAAGTTATAAACCAGGACAATCTCATGCTGCTAAACAGATTGCAAAGAGAATACAATGAATTACACGTTAAAGCAACACTGAAGTTTCAGGCAGAACTTTTAAATGGGCCTTATAAATTCCTGGGATGCAATTCATTCTGTTTGCTCTTGCTTTCCCTGGTATTATTTAGTGGTTATTGATAGAACTGATAGCTATAAATTAAGGTAAAAAAAAATGTAAGTACTACCTCAAAGTGCAATTCCCCAATCTTAAAAAGTATAACCCCAAAGTTCTGGTCCGATAAAACTATTTTTTTCTTCCAGTTATCCAGTTTCCATATTCAGGATTTAAATAATATAATGACACTTAGAATAAGAAGTAAAACTTCCCTTGAAAGCGTATCAGTATCCAAAATAATAAAGATAGGTTATAGAATAATCTTCTTTTTATATATAGAAATAAGAAATATTATTTGATAAACTATATTTCCACATCTAAGTAAAATGTTTTGTATAAGTTGGAAGCTGCCAATGGATGTTCAGTTATGATTTAAATGTCTACCAAGCTATCTTTATAAGCAATTTAGCGATTCACCACAAGATGGTGCAGACCAAGAATGCAGACCTCTGCCTTGGCAGCAATTCACAGCTAGGAAATGAGTCATCGCACAAAGTGGCTTTCAAAAACAGCATGTTGCTCAACAGTTGCAGCTGCAATAAATATTCTTTAATGCCTTGCTGACTATGCTATTTACTCTTCTTGGGCGTTTCTGAAGCATATGTGGCACTATCACAAATAAAGTTTGAACAGGATTAATAATGAGGGAGGTCCAATAAAACACTCATCATCCAAGAACTTACTGGCGATGAAAACATCAACATTCCTGCCCGCCCTGAAACCTGGGTCACTCCAGGCGACACTTTCCCCCTGACAGAGGCCACAGCACCCAGCTACACCTTCCATCATCCCCATGACCTATCCACCATGGTGACAGTGTGGCTCTCATTTCCCGGTCCCCATTCGGCCTATCCCTTTACTCTCTGGAAGCTTCCCTCCTTTGAGCACCTTACCCTTAACAACCCTCCAACCTTTCCCTCAAAATTCTCGTTACCTATCGCACAACCCCCCCCCCCCCCAGCCCCCCCAAGCTCTCCTGGACCTTCCTCTCTGACATCTCCACCGTTATCTTCCCTCTCCCCCGAATGCCTTCTCATCCTAAGCGACTTCAACCTTCACTTCACCCCCTTCTGCTCTACCTCTGCTGATTTCTCCTCCCTCCTCTCCTCCCTCAACCTCTCCCTCTACATCCACTCTGCCTCCCACGTCCGATGTCACCCTCTCGACCTGGCGATCACTCGGTGCCTCACCGTCTCCACCTCACTATCACGGACAAAGTCATCACTTCATCTCCTTCAACTCCTCAACCCCTCTCCCAGCGGCCATCGAAACCCACCCCCATCTGCCCCCCCTCTCTCTCGGATGCCTCGGAATCATCTGAACTCCTCCCCCTCTGGGCTTCCTCTGCAGTGACCTATCCTCCTCAGTCACTCTCCTCCACAATTTCCTCTCCACTACTCTTGATACTCTTGCTCCCCTCACTTCTCAAACTATCTCCTACTCACAAAACTCACCCTGGTACACCAGCCACCACCACTCTCTTAAGGCACAGGTGCGTGCCGCTGAATGCACCCAACTCAAATCCAACTTAACGGTCCATCGGTGACCCTATCACCCCCATCCTCGCCCAACTCCACTGGCTTCCCATCAGACAGAGGATAAGTTCAATATCCTAGTCCTCACCTTCAAAGCCTTCCATGACCTCACTCCCCCTATCTCTGCGACCTCCTAACCCCTACCAACCTGCGCGCTCCCTCCGCTCAGCGGGCTCCGGCTTGCTTCACGAACCCATCTCATCCACCCTAGCATTGCAGGCGAGCATTCAGCCACTGTGCCCCCACCCTGTGGAACCCCATCCCAGTCCCTCCGCCTCGCCCCCTCTCTTGCCTCTTTCAAGACCCATCTCCACACCCTCCTCTTTGACCATGCCTTCGATCGCCTCCTTCCATCCTTGCCCTCCCTGATCCCGACCCCTAGCTCGGGTCCGAAATACTGACTGTCCAGTGCCTTGGGACGTCCTCCTGTCGTGAAAGGTGCTATACAAATGTAATTTTGTTGTTGTTTGAGAGCTTCTTAAAAAGGGCAGCGTCCTTGTGGACGTTACTGATAGGGTGTGGAATTTAGCTTCATTCTTGCATGCAGTAAAAGTAGTACCAAAGAGTCCATAAGTGGCCACATCCTCATGCAAGCTTCTTGCATGCAGCAGTATTCAAAATAATTCATCTAGTTTGTCTTGTTTTTATTTCCCAATGTAATCAATGTTTTTCATGTTTTCAAAACCTCATTTACTCTAAGTAAAGCTTTTTTCTTCATACTGTTCAATGTGGATTGTGGTTTAAGTTCATGCAATTTATTATTCATGCAACATATTTCAGCATAGGTAAATATAATGTATCTACTAAGAGTTTAAGAATTTTGATGTTTGTTTCAAATCAGTGGAGAAGTTCCCTGTCAACAGACAACTATGGCTCACTTTGATGCATTATTATTCTGTGATCTGACACTGATATGAACTTTTATTTCACTGAATGTTATCAAGGTTAAGTATAAACAAAATATGCTATGTACTTACATGTGTTAACAAAATAATAGAAATAAGAAACAAACATTGATGCAGTTCTTTACCTTTATGCTACATTGTCTAACTGTATTTATTAACTCTTGCATAACCAGATCTACACACTTTATGCAAGGCTCCTTCAATTTCACAATATGCTTCTTCACGATAGCTTCAAAAGCCATATCAGGTGTAAACAAACCTGGTCTGTTGAAAGAAAGAGAGAAACATTATTTTGTTGTGGTGTGTATGTGTGTGTGGGGTGGGGGGGGGGGGGGGGGCGGGGAGAGATGCATTGTAAAAGATAATCACATATTAAAATCTTCACCTTCCTGACAATCAATCCAATCATAAGGATTATTATCTTGTGATCCAATCTCCCAAGCTGTATGGAAACGTAAAAAGTCCAATTAAATAATCCTTGCATTTTTTTATTAATTCCTTAATTTAAAGTAATTCAGAAAATGTACTTCTGTTCTTATCAAGCCAAACTTATGCAGTGAAAGCTATTTGATCATGTATGTTTGTGTTCATATAGGGTTCTTAGACTTCATCCAGAACTTTTGATTTGTAAAAATTGCAAAAAAGAATGGAATCCACTCAAAATGTTTTTCCATCACCGGTATTGTTAAATTATTATTTTAGTAGATATTTCTATTTGAAAAAAAGAGATTACCATAGCATAAAGTGTAAAACATTCACATGTTTGACTAAAAACTTCTCAAACTGATGTTTTAAACACTTAAAATAAGCAATGATACACAGTCCACACAAGGCAATTTTAAACTGTATAAAAATAAAAATGCATGGATAATTTTCTTTTATTCCCACTATTGGTTAAAACACAAATTTCCCCCATTAAATAGGCAGAATTTTCTAACGAAACCAACTTGCCTGATACCGTGGATATTCTTGATAGCGAAGCTTATTTCCCTTCTCAGCTCTTTTTCATCAAATTCCATCTTAAAAAAACGGTTTTACGTAGTCCATATGTGGGTAATGTACATCGAAAAGTGACACTTTATCCATGTCACTTTATCCATCTGTATAACTATTACAGTCCTTTAAAGCTTTCAAAATGCACATATTCATTACATTCGTGGAAAAAACAGCTTCCTGAGCCCAATCTATGTTTCTTTTATTATTATGAAAACAATTATTATATCCCTTCCGGTATTCATTGTAACAAAGCAGTGAATGCCACTAGGCAGCACTAGAGCTGTTGTTCAATAGCTCCATCACTTCAATAATATAAAATGCCTGTGCAAAGTTACTAGAATCACAATTTCCCCATCGTATGGGATGAAATCATAGATCCAGTAACTTTGCATGCATGTTCATATGCACACAGTGCAGTGTACACTGCTGTACAGTGAGAAAGAGTTAGACATAAAGAGACAGAAAGTCAGAGAGAGATAGAAAATCAGAAACTAAGGTTGAGAGAGAAAGGCAGTTTGAGAGAAAGGAATTAAGAGACAGATAAGAGAGAGTGACAGAGAGAACAACAACTTCTATTACAGAGATGGTGCTAGGTACGGAGCAAAAAGAGTGGGGTTGAGGGATTTAGAGAGGGAATTCAGAGAGCAGCAGGATAGTTACAGAAGGCTTGGTTGCCATTGAATGGGCAAGGAACATACCACAGGCCATTAAATACAGTAAATTACTTATTGTCATTAATCATGGTTATTTTCTTTTGTTTAGCAAATCCTTTCACTTTAGATAATGACTAGTTTAGAATGCTGGGAAAAGTTCTCATTGGTTTATTGATTTCAAATACAGCAAACCTACAGATAAAGACTCTTGAGGTATGGTAAGTGTAATACCTTTACTAGTTCAAAAGGAAACCGTTCATGGAAAACCCGATTTATTCTTGCACCTCCTGACAATTCCAGTGTTTCCACTTGATCACCAGATCCTTCAATTCTCTTGTCAAAGTCCACAGAAAACTGCTTTACCATTCTAATCAAAGAAGGGAAAATAATTCAGTAATACTGCATGCACTTACTAAGAATGAGCCTATTATTTGTTTCATTTGTTCCTTTATCCCTGTTTTTCCTCTCCTCTTCTTTGAGGTGCTGGCTCATATTTGGGTTTGGTTCCATTGTTGTTCATAGCGAGCTGGTATCTATCTCACTCAAGAAGCATTCTTCACATGCAAACTTAATAAGTGTTGATATGAGGATAATGCTATCTCTAACTCATCTGATTTACACGCATGAACATTTTTTAGTATTGATCAGTCGCGGGAACCCTGAGGCATAGCTTCAATAGGGAACTTGCAGAATGCAGAATGCAATCTGCGCTTCAGCAAAGAAGCTTCATAATAACTTCCATAATACTCAACATACAGCAAGAGTGCCTTGCTTTTTGTGGCAGGATCATCAGGTCGGTAGTCCTTATATTCCTCCACCTCTTTTTCTAAAGCTAGCATCTCGCTCTGAAGTTTGCTTCGCAGTGGTGGTAGCATCTCCCGAATATGGTTAGTCAGTTGCTACAGAAAAATAACCCACAGTGAATTGTACAATCTTTCCATTGTTTGATCAATGCAAAAAAAATGTAAAATTTTAGACGTTAATGAAAATGAACACCCATTTCACCTGCTGCTCATATATTGTGTCTTGGGTTAGCATTTTTGCTGATCAAATTCAGGTTGAAAAATATTAAGATTTGTTATGCAATTTTGTGGCTACAAAAGTATGCAGGGCAAGGGGGACCGTGGATTATGTACACTAGTTTTTCCTCTTGGCACATGGGATTAAATCTAGGCAGACTGGCCAGATACAAATTGCTTTATAGGCTATAATGACCTATTTTCACTGCTAGCAATCTCACCTGCCTTGTCGCCTGTTACTTCTTTATGCCAGTTCATGGTAGGGTGATGGGGAAATGACATCAAAGTGTTCAACGCATGATGTCACATGTATGGTGATATCAGTGCATAAGAAATCACACCTCAGATGCATGTTCAGAACTCCGCAGAAGGGAACTAAGGGGTGTGATGGTAAGGAAACTCCCACCCTGCTGTCAGAATCTCCACTTGGGTGAGCTCTTTATGGTAAATTTAATTCTGTGCAAAATATTAGTTATGTACAAATTTACAATATCCCTCATTAAAAATAAATCTGCTTAAGTAAGAAAAAATGTGCATCTCTCTGATACTTCCACACAAAACTTAAATGTTAAAAAGAGCTTCCTCTAACCTGGTTAAGTTCCTTTTGCAAGTGGCGTGTTCCCATGCGATCTGCCATGTGTCTGTATGCAGGATGAGAAAGAAAAAATTTTCTTTCTTCTGAAAGTGCCATTTTAATGTCCTTTCTGCTGTCAATATCCTTCTGACTTCTGTTGACCACACCAACATATCCTAGCAGCAGGAAAACCATAAACGTACACACATTTACTTTTTCACAAAATATCTGTAATGTTATTTGAGAAGTATAGCTCTTAACTAAGTGAAATCCACATTCACGCAAAACAAATACCTGAGTTATAGATACAGCATTATTTTTTCCTTTTTATATCAGTGCTGACATAGTGGGCTCCCAGGCCTTTGACAGACAAGAATCTCCCTCCCTCACAGTCTCGTTCTCAAGGGTATAGTGTTTGTATACACTTCGTGGTTTGCCACTATTGCACTAGTGATGCTAAAATGTACACTTTCACGATGTTCCAATCTGTTCTTAACTTTGTTAATAGTCCTGGCAAAACTATCTCGGTTATAAGCAATTTGTTCTTCTGAAGATCTACCGCGTATACAGATGTTCCTGTACATTAAATGGAAAATAAAATCTGCACGGAATATTTTGTTCCTCAAAGTACTCCCGCTGGAAGTAGACAAAAAAAAATAGTTTCCAAAACGATATTTTTCGATTAAATGTATCTTGCTGTCCTATATAGTAAATAAGACCCATCTCCTGCACGAGAGTGGAGATCGGATTATCTCATTTATTTCATATGCCTCAAAGAAAATGCATAATCATTACGTTCTGTTTGACAACTGTAGATACTGTTTATTTTAAAAGAACAAACAATGTGGGAAAATATGTTTTCTTGAGATTCTTTTCCCAGGCTTTCTCCTCAATTATATACTGTTTGTTATATGAAATGCCAGTGTTTGAAGCAAACATTAAACAAATACCCTGAAATAAATGCAGCAACTATATTTAAAGCCCATTTTAAAATATACAAAATACAGGCAGTGTACACTTTACGGTATGCCCTGTGAAATATTTGAGACATCCTCTTATAATATAAGGATTAATTTTATTATGAAAAAATTATCCTTTCATTAAAAATAATTGCTGTCATTTTACTAGATGTAAAAAAACGTCATTGAAATCATGATGATCATTGCATAGTTAATGGAACTGCGTTTGGTTTAGACTTCTTGCGTTAAATTATTTTCACTGATTTGATAATCAAAAGCACGGTCAAAGAGGAGGGTCTTGCGCTGGGTTTTGAAGGTGGTGAGGGAGGGGGTGAGATGGAGGGACTGCGGGATGGAGTTCCAGAGGGTCGGTGCAGAGTGGCAGAAGGCCCTCCCGCCGATAGTGGGGCGAGCAATGCGGGGGAACGTGAAGCAGGCCGGAGCCCACTGAGCAGAGGGAATGAACAGGGTAGTAGGGGGATAGGAGGTCGGAGAGGTAGGGGGGAGCAAGACCGTGGAGGGCTTTGAAGGTGAGGACCAGAATCTTGAACTGTATCCTCTGTGCAATGGGAAGCCAGTGGAGTTTGGCAAGGATGGGGGTGATAGGGTCACGTAGCCTAGTGCGGGAGAGGACATGGACTGCAGAGTTCTAGATGATCTGCAGCCTGTGGAGGGAGGAGTTGGGAAGGCCGACAAGCAGTGAGTTTGCATAGTCGATAATAACAATAATCCTTCCATTTAATATAATGTATTTCACGTTGAAAGGCCATTTCAAATCATTTCATAGGATTTATTGTAAAATGTTGCCCCTCTGTAATTGTAGGTGAATACAGCAGCCAATTTGCATACAGTAATGTCCCAGAAATTTTGATTAAACATCCCACAATACTGGCTCACATAGATGTATGGTTAATAATAATCCTTGAATTATATACATCCTCTTATCATTTTGTCGAAACACCTCAACACGCTTCACAAGATGTATTGTAAAGTGCAACGATTGTGTATTTCTTGGTAAAGATGACAGTGAATTTGTGCAATACGATACCTCTACGAAGTGGCAGGAGCTTGTTCTCCAGAACATTCTTGGCATCTGTACCATCGTCCATTAGATCAAGCTTGGTTATCACACCAATGGTTCGCATACCTGATCGCATTATGAAAAGAAATAAAGGAGAACAAATTAAACTACATTCTCTGGTCTGTCAGTTTTGTTTGGGGAATGTGTTACTAAAGCCAAGGAAGACTGCTGGATAGGATCAGATGGGATTATAGTTATTCTGCTTACAAATTCACTCAGGCTTCTAGCAATTTCAGTTTAATAAAAAGGGATAGTGCAATGGAATAAAAATGCCTTACCTGGAGGATCAACCTCTTTGGCTAGCTTAAGTGCATCAGAATTGGCCAAGTCAGTATTTGCTGGAGTTACTGCTAAAATTAGGCAATTTTCTCGAGTGATGAACTGCAAGATCATGTCTCTGATCTGGTATTCAATGTCTGTTGGCTGGTCTCCTACTGGCACTTTAGTGATACCGGGCAGGTCAATCAGTGTCAAGTTTAACACTGTAAACATGCAAATGAAACAGAAGAACAAGCTAGCAATGTGAATTCTGAGAAAAAAACTTTGTTTTAAATGCAAACCATTCTTCAATTATGTATGAAGTGGGGAAGATTAAAATACAATGAACAAAAGTGACAATTTCTAACATTCTTACCATAAAACAAACATACTTAAATTATTATTAATCATAACTACAGAATTAGATAAAAGCTCTTCAGACTTTTTCCATGTTTGAGGTTTTGAGAACAAAGACGAAATAGTGAAAGCTTATTTGCATGGCATGTAAATAAAATTAATAATCAATTCCATCGAAAGCAAAACCAAATAAAAGGTGTCCCTATGGAAAACTGCACTAACTAGATTCTAATTTTTTTTAAAAGTAACATGTTCTTTTATTTGTTGTATTATTTTTCACATTACCCAAAATATTTAATCTTTGGAAAACAGATCTGAAATCCAGATCCATATTATAAGTAAATGTTTGTCACAGACAAAATGAGTTTGCCTCCAACAGAGAAGTGGAAAATACACTTACCAGATTTGATCTAATATATTACCAGCCACAATATCAAACCAAAGCATACCATTTATTTATTATGAATTTATTATTTATAACATTCAATCTGTTTACTTAACCCTATAATTTTCCTTACTATTTTTTCCTCTGTTGCTAGCCTATATAATTATCAGCATTAAATAATAAAGTTCTGTAAAAGGAATGTTCAGAACATATACTTCACAGAACACATTAAAAGTCATAAATGTCAACTAAACCTTGAAGTCAAATATGTACTGCGAGTAAAAGCACTGCCATCCAGCACAGCAAAACAGATGATAAGTTACAGGTTTGAATCTGTACTGAATTAATAGATCTCAGACAGGGCAACAATTGGAGTAATAATTGGCTTCAACGTCCGTTGGTAAGGCAATGTTCCTTGATTGTTATCCAGAGACACCTCATAGAGGGTGCAGATTCGGCCTCAGCTTTGATGTTACTCCATGGTTCAATAGCTACCCTGCCAGTGTGCACTCATAGTCACATAATTTTTTTTAAAAAACTTTCAATAAAATATTTAATAACAGGGCTTTCATGTTGGAAGGACATCTCAAAATTCTTCACAGGATTCAATGTAGAATATAGTGACCATGTACTTTGTAGGTGAACATTGAGTTGGGAGGAAACTGGAGAGCAGCCTTGAAACTGCACCGCAGTAGAAGAAAAAAAGGAGTCAAGGGAAGGGAAGGGTGATGAGAAATTTGAGTGAAAATTTAGGGAAAATATAATTGGAATAATTTATTATAATAATTAATGTTTTATTTACCTTTACTGGTTAGACTTGTTTGAAATGAAATGTTCCAATACAGATGTAGTCCAGTTCCTAAGCCAGGCTGGTCCACATTATCCTAGGGCACTGCTGATGACAGTACAGCCAGCCTGGCTCATCGGCAGTACCTGGAAGGGCAGACCAGTCACTGGAGGCAGGGAGTCATTCCACTCAGGTCCTGATAACCCTGAAAACCAACGCACTACAACGGGTAGGGTGGTCCTAGCTGGATAGGCAGTGGGAAAGCTTGCTGGATATCAATATCAATGGCAAGCTATGCGGTTTTAGCTGGTTAGACTGCAGCAGCACCCCAACAAGCACTCTGGGGTCCCCAAGGCTTGGCTCTTGCCAACCTGCGCCTAATACTTTCCGGAAATGGGTAAGCAGAATTCGTCCATCCAAGGAGAAAATGCACATTCCTTACCAACAATCAATCTCTGGGATTTCCATGCGCAGGTGGGACGCATGGAAATCTCAGCTTGGTTTGAATACTGCTAATCATTGTAATGGGTTTTCGCAAGTGGCTGACAAAAAAAACTATCCAGTCCCAAAATACCCTTAACTTTTATTTTAAAAATACTTTCAATAGTTTGTAAATAAACAGTATTTAAAAACTTTGTTTCCACTCACCAGATGGTGAATAAATTCTCAAGTTAATAGGTATTGATGAAATCCCTTTGTTTATCCCTGTCACCCGGTCTGTCTCGACTTCAATCTCTTGACGGACTTCATCAAAGTTAGTGAACTTTCTTCCTTTAAAATGTAGGAATTCAGCATACTCTAGGAGAAATTAACAACAATTACATAAAGTTAGGGATTATTTTGGGGACATGTAAATGCAAAGTATTTCACAAGTTATAGTTGAGAAATTTTCAGAAAGGTCAAAACACATTTAAAGTAATCCCGGAATGACACAATAGGTTAATTGACAATTATTGCAAAATTCTGTCGACATATAATGCGCTATAAACATGCAAATTATTTCTGCTTCTAACCCCACAAAAGTCCCAAACAAACTGCTTTGTCCAATATTTTTATTTTAAAAATGTTTGGTTAAAAATAATAATCCTTGCATTTGATATAGCACCTTATCACATTGTAAAGACATCTCAAAGGACTTTGTGAGATATACGATCATGTTTAACCTGGGGTTGCCTGATATGAATATTGATTCTAAGAAGTGAAAAGGTATTTGAATTTCATCAATGGCATGCTTTATCTCAATGAACATAAAAATTATAATTTCTTTTTAAATCCACACCAGTAATAAAACTCTGTAATCCCCACAACATAAAACATATATTCAGTACCTGTAATGGAATTAACCAGCTGCAGGACCAGAGGACGTCTTGTAACAATGCCTGATCCTCGGGGAAGGAAATCTCTGGCATAGAATAAAAGAAAATTAGGTAAATGTAGGTTTTCATTTTAGTTAGGAATACATGCCTGATTCAAAATGTATATGCTTTCAAATATTCTAACATCAATAACAAACTGGCAACACAGCTTCAGCTACATTACTGAAGTATATCTAACAGACTAAAAATAAAGACACAAGTAGTGACAGTTACTTTAATAAATAAAGTGCCATTGCATTTTCAATAAAGATAAACATCAGAAAGAAATTTGATTCTTACGAGGTTGTCAACTTTTGGACAATGATCATATATAATATATTATCCATGCGACAGTACAGTGATTTAGACTTCAACAAAAAAACATTTTATCAAAGCACTAATTTCTTTGGGTTTGGGGGTGACCAAATCCCCATGTAAATGGATTATTGTTCAAACAAAGGTATCCTATACAAATACATAATACATAAAGAACAGTGAAAAGCATGCAGGATGTCTGACCGTTAAAAACTCTTTTTTGCTCAGTCATAGGAGACTTTCTCATATATGCTGCCCTCAAGTGGCCGTCTTCAATTCTTTTCAAAGAACACTAAATAAAATAGTTAACTGGAGAAAAGTACCAAAATGACAAGGGCGCAGTGGTGGAAGCCAAAGCATCTGTATTGAAATAGAAATAGCATTGATCTCAGCAGTGGAGTAAGGGAGAAATGCTGTAATTAACTAAAATAAGGAGGAAGAAATAAAATAATAATAATTCTTGCATTTGATATGGCACCTTATCTTGAGTCTAGGCATCTGAAAACACTTATGTTCATCTACATCACCAGGAATCAATAATGCAAGGCACAGACACTATTCTTCTTTCAACTTCAGACTTGCACACTAACTGGGATCAGAGACAGAGAAACAAGTTCTGAGTTCCACTCAAAATCAGATCAGGGTACCATTCCAAGGTTTCGTTCCCACTTAAACCTCCAAACACACTTAAGACGTATTTTTTTTAGGCGGGTTTTGAAAGCAGAGAAGGGCGTAAGAAAGGGATTTCAGAAGAGTTCCAGAAAGTGAGGGCAAAGTGGTTGAAAGCTCGCCTGCTGGTGGTGAGGTGGAGCAGGTGGTGGGGGAGGGGGAGGGGGCAGGTACGACGACATGGATGTCTGATTTGGCAGAGCAGAGTCAGTGAGCGGAGGATTGCAATGTTAGAGTCGGGCAAAGTTGTGAAAACATTCAGATGAGGACAAGTATCTTAAAGTAGATCAGCAGGGGAGATAGGGAGCTAGTGGATCAGGGCAAGGATGGGGTTGAAGTGTTCATGGAGCTTAATATGGGAGAAGTGGGTTCTGGAAGATCTGGAGCAATTAGAATTTGCAAAACCAACTATCAGCATTATTTTGATGTCCTACTGCAGTACTTGAGTAGTCTTGTTAACTACGCAGTCAAAAATATCATCAAAATCTCCAAGCCAGCTAAAATAGAAATCCCCCTAACAGATGATTCACTAAACTGTTGATTCCCCATTCATCACTGGATTTATTCAATCCTTTCACAATTAAACAAGTCAGAACAAAGATTTTGTTTTTATTTTTGTTGAGTTGACTTAATCTTTCTGAATTAACTTCCAAGGAAAACCTGTAATACTTTCTTTAAAGTGAATGTTGGGCTTATCAACGTAAAGAAGGTTGATGCTAATATAAAGGGACACTTTCATAGCTAAGCAAGCAGTATCAACATCAAGCATTGCTGGATCAGGTATGGTAGGATACAGCGTAAAGCTGCCACAACTCTGCCCCATCAAGGTGCCCCAAATTCAGAAAAGGATCCAAAATGTGATATTTTCTATTTCTCATAGAAATCATCCTTTCACCACCCTTGAGTGACTGGCAATGTAGTGCAGTTTAATTTTAAGCTCTAATGCAATACTCACTGGGAATAAAGTTGAGTCCCTAAATTCATTTCAAACTCATTTCATCTAGCTGCAGGCAAAAGATGGAAGAGACTTTTACCAATTTGGACTGAATCTAGGCAGGTTCCAGAGGTTATAAACCAGTGTGTTAACACTGCTACCCATTCTACTGAATCTTTCTATGTAATTATTACTGAGCACACAGGCTTAATGCAGCACAAGTGTACTTAAGACAACTCTACCTAAAAATGTTAAATAATATTAGGAGACATTATCAGAGTTTTTTTTTTCAAATGTACGTTTCAGTTTATCTCTTCCCCTGACAACACATGCATTGTTAAGGCATCATTTCTTTCACTTTCTATTCTGCAGCCTTTTGTTCCTACTTCTACCTATTTTCAGTGGGCAATCTTAAAATCACGAGAATTTAGAATTGTTTTATCAATGCAGATGGCCTTCTGTGTTATTATATAGTAATAATCCTTGCATTTGATATAGCACCTTATCACTTCTTCCGAGACATCTCAAAGTGCTTCACAGAATATACTGTAAAGTGTAGTTATTCTATTTTGTGGGTGAAAAGCGGCAGCCAATTGCGCACAGCAGTGTCCCACGAACAACCGTGGATTGAGTTGCAAATAGATGCAATACCATTATAATATATATTATTTATATTATTATTTATATTATTATTTATATTCTTATTTAATATAATAGGTCACTGAAATAATATTTTTACAAATAGATGCAATAACTTTGCTCACATCCAAATCTAAGCAGAAATTAACATAAATATCCAAAACAAATGTAATGAAATGTAATGTAATGAAAACACTGAAGAAAGATCTCTTATTAACACTGAATTGTCCATAGCCATATGTTGTATCCAGCAGCTTAGCTACTTCATGATAAATGTAGAATTTGTTTGACAGCTTCTATAGCATGCTGATGATTCCTTCTTGTAATGTACAACTTGATATGATCCTGAGCCTCACAGACCAAGAAGATCCCTAATTTGATGTTGGTTTACATGAGTTACCTGATCTCGATTGAGGTTGCAATTGGAATAGTACAAATAGCCTTTGCTAACTGGGATAGGGAGGAGCAATTCAGACAGGGTTCCCTGTACTGATTGCTATCTGGAAGTCCCAACTGCAAATTCTTATGAGTGGGAAGAAGGGTAGTTTCCCCAAGAAGGAACAGCAGAAAAATAAAGAAAATCACCTACCAACCCTCTTAGCTTGGGGTAACAAATTGCTGTGGAAACCAAACATAAAAAGACAAAATGAAGAAATACACCACATAATTTTCAAATCGGTGAAGTTTTTTTATTAAATTCATGTTAGTATTGGCATTTCATATTTAAAAAAAATATTTCCTATGTACTTGAAATAAGCTGTAAATTTTAATCAGAACTATTACAGGCACAATATTTAGAAATAACTGTCAATATTTCTACAAGAGTAAACAAGTTGCAAAAGGTTGAGAAATGTACAAAACAGGCATTGGAATTTTACAAAATCAGGTGTATAAGCATTTTGTACCTAAGCATTTAGCATATACATTTAGCACAAACACAAGTGCTGTTATTAGCAATGGGAGACAAAAGCATATTAAATACAATGGTTAAGGGTTGTAGCTTTCAGTCATTCAGGCTGGAGATCTTTGAATAATTCAGGCAATGCAGAGCGAAAGTTATCCTGCCACATGCAATCAATGTTTCAGAAGTACAGTGTGGACAATTACATCTTCTTCCACAATGTACTTTGCAATTCTTCCCAAAACAGGGAAACAGAAGATAGCAGGGTTTTATTTGAAGGTATCTCAGTTACTTGGTCTAGAGTGCAATGACATTTCAACTTTTCTAGCTGGTTACCTGCAGTGAAGGCAGCAACAGGGATGAAAATGTAAAACAAAAAAGGTTTCAGCAGGACAGAAGCAGCAGCCATGGAAATGATGAGTGTTCAGTTTTTTAGCCATATCAGCTGCACTGAATACTCAACTATCCAACTTCAAAGACGATAGTTTCACAGTCCCTGAAGCCTCTGCTTTAAGCTTTAAGAAATATGCTACAAATCCACATGCCGACTGTAAGACTTCACTCATTTGTAGTTTTGTAGCATGCAAAATGTAATTTTATAGAAAATGTCACAATAAATAAGATGGCTCAGTTACAACTATAACTTCAACATTCAGCACAAATTTTAAAAGTTCCAAATGACACCAAACAATTGAAAGAACTAAACACAAAATACTGCAGATGCTGGAAATCCGAAACAAAAACAGAGAGAGCTGGGAACGCTCAGCAGGTCAGGCAGCATCTATGGAGAAAGGAAAGTGAGTCAACGTTTCGGGTCCACGACCCTTCGTCAGAACCTTTGTGTTCTGACGAAGGGTCATGGACCCGAAGTGTTGACTCACTTTCCTTTCTCCATAGATGCTGCCTGACCTGCTGAGTGTTCCCAGCTCTCTCTGTTTTTGAATTGAATGCACTATACTGTTATTTACTCCAAGAACCCACTCACACAAATCCTCCAGCCTTCCTTCCCATTAGAAAAACTTAAATACCGTCATCATTCTAACCAAGCTACTGCAGCTAATTTTATACCAGATAGATATCAGGTCACTGAAATATTTTACAATTTCTGAAAGCACAGAATAAGAAAGAATGTAGGAGCATAAAAATCCCCAGTCAATACATTGGGCCAAACTTTTTTTAAAAAATCTTTATCTTTGGTATCACTATCATAAATACATGGTAGAGCTGAAAGTGAAGGATACTACAGAGTGGGCAGCCCTTTCTTTAGAATTACAGTATCATTCTCTTTAGAGGAAGTAATATAAATACAGCTCAAACTGAAACATACAATGTTTATTTTTCTCCAATGTCTCTCTGACTATATTCTGTTAAGAAATACAATAAACTCCTCGCTTTCCCCCTTCCCTCGGATGTGTGATAGGGGGAGATGGGGGGGTAACCAGCGACTCCTTGGAGCTGAGCTTTGTCCGAGGTGACGTGCCATTACAGACACAGGGAAAACTTCCATGTGTAGGTGGCACACATATGTGGAATTCTCAGTCTGGTTTGGGTACTCTTCAGCATGGTGATGGCATATGTAAAACGGATGGCTGACTAAAAAAAAATGTCACTCACTCACACACACTCTATTATAGATAGCCTTCTTAGGCATTTACATCAATGCTAACAATTTCTCTTGAATTGAACAGTCCAGAAATAGTAGAGCAAGCTGCAGTTGATCTATAAGGGTAGAAACTATTCTTATTATACAAAATCACAAAAAAAGGTTATATCAACTGCAGAAATGTATTGAGAACAGCATGTGAATGGTTTGGTGCTTATTTTTGAATAAGCAGCCAGTGCAAATCCAACACAAGAAAGCCTATGATATAATAGTCGTTACTAATTATGACATTGTTTCATTATAACCTTCTCTAGCATTTTAGCAATATTATGTTTTGATTCTGAAACAGAAAATATGCAGCACATTCAATCTCATTCATTTTGTTTTGCTCTTTAATTTTGCACTGCACTGCAGTATTTTTCTCTCTTTAATTCCTTTGATTCCTATTTCCCGAGCTCGGCACCTCGGCACCTCCTCGTCATAAGTTCAAGTAATTTACTTCACAATTTTATCACACTAATGTTTCAAATGTCACTATCCAGATTTCACAAGAGGAATTAAAGATGGTTCTCATAACTATCATTTTGGTCAACAATTTCCTAATTGGACTATGTATTTGCAGGCAATGGAGTGAGCTGCAAGTATAAATACAAGTTATTTATTTTAAATGGGGCAAAATAATTAATCCTTGCAAAATACTTTTATTTAAATCAAATAGCAAACACTCAATACGTTTCACTTCAGTTTGTTTTCCGACTGCATAAATAACAATAATTCTCTTCCCACAAAGATGGCGGACTAGTTCATCCTTGCTATTTTTCCTTACTTCCTCCGACCCCGGTCGAGTGATCCTTGCATCCTGCAGACATGAAATGAATGGCCAGGGGACTGAGAAAAACTCCCTTCACTTTTCAAATAGTACGCAATTCACACTAGGTTTATATAATTCTTCTTCCCCACACCCCCCCATCTATTCCCATGCAGTGTCTTAACATGTCATCGAGATGTCTCAAAGCGCTTCACAGGATAAACTGTAAATGGAGTGACTGTGTATTCTGTGGGTGAAATGCAACAACCAGTTTGCGCTCAGCAATGTCCCACAAACAGCCATGGAGTGAGTGACCAATTTTATTTGGGGGATTCGTTGGCCGGGAGAGTGAAACTATCCCTTCTCTTTTCGACTAGTGCTACGGGATATTTACCGTCCACCTAAACAGGCCGATGGGAGCTTGGTTTCATATCTTATCCGAAGGATGGCACCTCCGACTATGCAACACACAACCCAACCCCCAATCCCCTCAGCACCACATTGGGAGTATCATCTTTTGACGTTATGATTTCAAGTCCCTACATGGGGCTTGATCCCACACAACCTGCCAACTCAAGAGGAGGGGGCGCTACCTCTGTACCAGGTATTGACATATTCTAGCGCTTGCTTTGTTCGTGCAGAGGACGAAACCCAAACGCAATGTTTTTTTCCCAGTGGGCTGCCTGCCACCTGTCAGTTTGGAGGTGGGACAGAGGAGATAGATGCACAACATCCTCTCTGCATTTGCACAGGATAAAGCGCGCGGACTACTACTAATAATCCTTGCATTTGATACAGCGCCTCGTCACGTCCTCGAGATGTCTCAAAGCGCTTCGCAGAATATACTGTGAAGTGTAGCGACTGTGTGTTTTGTGGGCGAAACAAAAGTGTGTGTACATAAACACACACAAACACTTGCCAGACATTACAGCTCTGCACACGCCGACAGCAACACAACACATGTGGGCTGTCTGGACAAACCACCACCAGCCCCACCCGGTTTAGATGGACAGTGGTACGGTTGGGGGTGGGGTGAAGTGGGGTTAGTGGTAAGGTTGGGGGGGGTGAGGTGAGGGGTTAGGGGGAGGGTTATGGGGGCTGAGGTGGGTGTTAGTGATAAGGTTCGGGGTGGGTGGGGGTTCAGTGGTACGGTGGGGGGGGGTCAGTGATACAGTGGGGGGTGGTCAGTGATACAGTGGGGGGGGCAAGTGATACGGTGGGGGGGGCAAGTGATACGGTGGGGGGGGGTCAGTGATACGGTGGGGGGGGGTCAGTGATACGGTGGGGGGGTCAGTGGTACGGGTGGGGGGGGGTTAGTGATACGGTGGGGGGGGGTTAGTGATACGGTGGGGGGGGTTAGGGATACGGTGGGGGGGGGTTCAGTGGTACAGTGGGGGGGGGTTGAGTGATACGGTGGGGGGGGGTCAGTGATACAGTGGGGGGGGGTTCAGTGATACAGTGGGGGGGGGTCAGTGATACGGTGGGGGGGAGTTGGGGGGGGTTAGTGGGTGGGGGGGGGTCAGTGATACGGTGGGGGGGGGTCAGTGATACGGTGGGTGGGGGGTTCAGTGATACGGGGGTGGGGGGGTTAGTGGTACGGTGGGGGGGGGGGTTAGGGATACGGTGGGGGGGGGGTTCAGTGATACAGTGGGGGGGGGGGTCAGTGATATGGTGGTGGGGGTTGGGGGGTTAGTGGGGGGGTGGGGGGTTGGTGGTACGGTGGGGGGTTTGGGGGGTTAGTGGGGGGGGGGGGGGTTGGTGGTACGGTGGGGGGGTTTGGGGTTAGTGGGGGGGGGGGTTGGGGGGTTAGTGGGTGGGGGGGGGAGTTGGTGGTAGCGGTGGGGGGGTTTGGGGGTTAGTGGGGGGGGTTGGGGGGTTAGTGGGTGGGGGGGAGTTGGTGGTACGGTGGGGGGGGGGGGGGGGGGGTGACGGGGCCTCACTTACCTCCCACGAAGTTCTCCAACACCGAGCTCTTGCCGGCGCTCTGACCGCCCACCACCGCGATCTGCGGCAGCTCCAGGCGGCGGCTCTGCCCCAGGGCGGAGAAGGCGTCCTGCAGTCGGTTCACCAGCGGAATCAGCGCCTCCATCGCCGCCGTCGCCGTGAGAGCCGAAGGATGGAGAGAGGGAGAGAGAGAGAGAGGTGTGTGTGGGGGTGTGGGGTGTGTGGGGGGGGGGAGGGCTCCACTGAAAACCGTTAGCTCAGGCAGCGGGTG